ACAGTAATACTGAAGGGCACTGCCACGTACACACGACAGAGAATAATAATAATTATTTACCGACAACAATTATAATAATTAATAACAACAATAATAAATAAGTAATTTACCGTCTGTTTGTATAAAATGCATCAAAGTATTGTACTAAATGGATGTTTGATGCGCGCGGGCATCGTGCAGTGATAATTATTGATAACCCACGCGGCTGGCGCACGATGCCTCATCGCCTCCTTGAGAGGAGGCTTTGCAGGGGCTTTGCTGCAAAGTGTAGAGACTGGTTCGAGCGCTGCCCTCTACGAACCGCCAAAGACCACGTCTCTGCCAATGGCTTTTTCTTCGCCGGTCCACCCAGTGCACCTGCGGGCTACCCCAGGGATCCATCCTTGCCCCCACCCCCACCTCTTCCTCGTCTATGTGCTCCCTCTCGTTGATGTCATCCGCCGCCACGGGGTTAACTTCCACGTGTACAATAATAGTAATAATAATCCTTGCCTTTGATATAGCGCTTTTCACGTCTTCTCGACGTCTCAAAGCGCTTCACAGAATATACTGTAAAGTGAACTGACTGCACGTTTGTGAGCGAAACGCGGCGGCCAATTGCCACCACAAACAGTCGTGGATTGAAACGACCAATTTTTTTTGTTATTAGGCGTGTGGAGTAAGAAAACTCGTCCAGGGTTTCAAGGCTTTTTTGAAGGCAATATTACTCCCAGAAAAGCCGATCTACTAACAAACCGGCCTCCAACTTACTGCTCGGTAAGTAAACCTAGGCGTGTGGAGTAAGAACAAACACTTGCCCAATGTTCTATCCTACCGATAATAGTAATAGTAATAATACTTGTAGACGTCTCAAAGCGCTTCACAGAATATAAGGTCAAGTGAATTCACTGTATATTTGTGGGCGAAACGCGGGAGCCATTTGCGCACAGCAGTGTCGCACAAACAGTCGTGGATTGAGTAAATTACTACTTATTTAATTTTCTTGAAGGATTATTATGAGGCGTGTGGAGTAAGGAAACTTGCCCAAGGTTTCGCCCTGACTGGGAATCAAACCCAAGTCTCTCGCTTGCGAGGCGACTGCTCTAAACACTGAGCTCCAGGACTCCATGTCCCGAATAGACATGTTTTCAAAACGTGTTTGATAAAGTACCTCATAAGAGACTTGTACGTAAAATAGAAGCCCACTTTATTAAAGGGAATTATGGAAACAGAATGAGCTGGTAGACAAAAAGCAAAGAGCGTTGGTGAACGGTTATTTTTGTGACTGGGGGGAAATGTACAGTGAAGTCCCCCAGGCGGTCAGTATTTGGACCATTGCTGTTTTTGGTCTATATCGACGACCTGGACCTGGCTGCAGGGAGTACAATTTCCAAGTTTTTAGATGATACGAAGCTAGGAAAAGTAGTAAACAGTGAAGGTCGTAGCAGACTCTCAATGGACATGGACAGAATCGTGGCAGCTAAAGTTTAATGTGAATAAATGCAAAGTGATATATTTTGGGAGGACGAATGAGAAGAGGCAATATAAACCGTTGGTGCAATCTTAAAGGGGGCAAATTGAATAGAGAGACCTGGGGGTCCACGTAAGCAAATAAGCTGATGGTAGAACCTTTAAGGGGTGAAGGAACAGAGAGATCTAAGAGGCTCATATCAATAAATCTTTGAAGGTGGCAGGACACGTAGATAAAGTTATTAAACAAAATGTACGGGGTGCTAGGTTTTATATATAGGGGCACAGAATGTGAAAGTCAGGAAGTGATCACAACTGGCACCGCCTTCCATCACCTCCGGAACATCGCCAGACTACGGCACTACCTCACCCCTCACGCTGCTGAAACTCTGGTCCACTCCTTTATCACCTCAAGGCTGCACTATGGGAACTCTCTCCTCGCCGGCCTTCCCGCCACCTCCCTCCACAAGCTGCAGGTCATTCAGAACTCTGCAGCTCGTGTACTGTCCCGCACCAGGCTTCGGGACCACATCACTCCCACCCTCGCTCGACTCCACTGGCTCCCCATCCCCCAGAGGATTGATTTCAAGATCCTCATCCTCACCTACAAGGCCATTCACGGCCTCGCTCCCTCCTACCGCTCCGACCTACTATCCCCCTACCTACCTGCCCGTATCCTCCGTTCCTCTGGCTCCGGGCTGCTCCGCGTCCCCCGCCCCAACCGCCCTACCATCGGTGGTCGGGCCTTCAGCCTCTCAGTCCCGAGGCTCTGGAACTCTATCCCCCAGTTCCATCGCCGCTTCCTCCCTTTCCTCCTTCAAGGCCGGTCTCAAGACCTTTCTCTTCGACCATACCTTCAGCTCCCCTCTCGAATCTCTACCCCCTCCTCGCTCCCTCCCTTCCCTCCCCCTGACCATTTCCCCCCTGCTCGAGTCCCGACCCAACTGTCCAGTGCCTTGGGACGTCCTCCCAACGTGAAAGGCGCTCTATAAGTGTAATCTTGTTGTTGTTGTTGTTGATCATGAACCTTTATAAAACACTGATTAGGCCTCAGCTAGAGACTGTGTTCAGTTCTAGGCGCCGCACTTCAGGAGGGATGTAAAGGCATTGGAGAGGGTGCGAACAAAATTTACCAGGATGATACCACAAATGAGGGACTTCAATTATCAGGACTGTTTGCAGGGCTATGGGGAGAGCGCGGGGGAGTGGAATTCAATTTCATAGCTCTTTTCAAAGAACCGGCACAGACATGATGGGCCGAATGGCCTCCTTCTGTGCTGTGTAATCCTCTGAACACCAATTAGGAGACGATACATGCCTACTATCAGTGTTGGTCAATTAACTGAACAAATACGGCTCCATCAGGTACCGCGAAAGGGGAAATGTTGTGACAGAGGCCACTTAGCAATAAGCTGCATGGAGCGTTATAGATCGGGGGAAAAAAATGGAAACTTGGGCAGCAGCGTGAAAAGAATGGCTGTGGGTTTCCCAGAAAGATCGGGTAATATTGATTTCACTGTATCTATTACAAAAGCAGAGGGGAGAGAATGGTCGGCGTCGTGTGAGGGTACTATTCCCAGGCGGACTGGTGGAGCTGTCTTGCTGCCTGCACCAAGCGATCCCAGTATTCCAGTGACTTGTGGTTTATTTCGGGAACCGAGGACAGTCCATACATCGCCCCCCAACAGCAACCGGCGATAACAGCTGTGGAGTCACTGTCACCTGGAAAGAGAAACACGGAATCTGAGAGAGAGAGAGACGAGGAGAGAGAGAGAGAGACGGTGAGAGACATACCAAGATGGAGAGACACGGAGAGACTGGGCAGAGAGAGAAAGAGACTGAGAGAGAAACAGAGAGAGACAGAGAGTGAGCGAGAGAGACAAACAGACAACGCGGGTTTGAGCAGTGTGAACGCGTGCAGCGTGACTGTGAGCAGGTGTGAGCGGTGAGTGTGACCGGTGAGTGGGTATAATAATAATAATAATCCTTGCATTTGATATAGCGCTTTTCACGTCGGGAGGACGTCCCAAAGTGCTTCACAGAATATACTGTAAAGTAAATTGACTGTATATTTGTGGGCGAAACGCGGCAGCCAATTGCACACAGCAATGTCCCACAAACAGTCGTAGATTGAAAATGACCAATTTATTATTGTTTTTGGTTTTGGAGGATTATTATTAGGCTCTGTGTGGAGTAAGGAAACTTGCCCAAGGTTTCGCCCTCTGCCGGGAATTGAACTTAGGTCTCTCGCTTGCAAAGCGAGTGCTCTAACCACTGAGCTACAGGACTCCACAAGCAGTGTGAGTGGGGTATGAGCAGTGTGAGTGGGTGTGAGTGTGAGTGGGCAGGGGTGAGCAGTGTGAGTGGTGACCGAGT